AATCAGGAAACATAAATGTAAATAACATATTTACTGCGGAAACGCGGGACCATAGGAAAAGTGGCAAAAAATTGTGGAGTTCGTCACATGAAAATGTTAAGACTGAGAAAAAATATAGCCTAAAATGTTATTAATGACAAAGGAAGTCTGCCAAAAAAATATTACGGTCCGATATCTTGTGAAGTTAGTAGAAAGTAGCGCTGCAGCCACTATTACAGAAGCGCTTCTTCTTCTTCTTTTTTGGCGCTGTAACCGCCTAAGCGATTTTGGCCGAGTTCAGCAAAGCACGCCAGTCGCTTCTCCTCTGTGCCAACTGACGCCAATTGGAAACGCCAAGTGAAGCCAAGTCCTTCTCCACCTGATCTTTCCATCGCAGTGGGGGCCTCCCTCTTCCTCTGCTACCACCAGCGGGTTCCGAGTTGAATACTTTCAGAGCTGGAGCGTCGGTGTCCATTCGAACGACATGGCCAAGCCAGCGGAGCCGCTGTATTTTAATTCGCTGCACTATGTCCATGTCGTTGTAAAGCTCATACAGCTCATCGTTCCATCGTCTGCGGTACTCGCCGTCGCCAACGCGTAAAGGACCGTAAATCTTCCGCAAAATCTTTCTCTCAAACACCCCAAGAGCCGCCTCATCGGATGTTGTCATTGTCCATGCTTCTGCGCCATATACCAGCACGGGCATGATGAGTGACTTATAGAGCGTGGTTTTCGTACGTCGAGAGAGGACTTTACTCCTGAATTGCCTACTCAGTCCAAAGTAGCACTTGTTGGCAAGAGTGATTCTACGTTGGATTTCAATGCTGACATTATTATCGGTGTTAATGCTGGTTCCCAAGTAAACGAAATTCTCTACTTTCTCGAAATTGTAACTGTCAACAGTGACGTGGGTGCCAAGGCGCGAATGTGCTGACTGTTTGTTTGATGACAGGAGATACTTCGTCTTGTCCTCGTTTACCACCAGACCCATGCGCTTTGCTTCCCTATCCAACTTGGAATAGGCAGAACAGACTTCGCGGTTTTTGTTACCGATGATGTCGATGTCATCGGCATAAGCCAGCAATTGCACGCTCTTGTAGTAAATTGTTCCTGAGCGGTTCAGTTCTGCAGCTCTTATTATCTTCTCCAACATCAGATTAAAGAAGTCACATGAAAGGGAGTCGCCCTGTCTGAAACCCCGTTTTGTGGCGAACGGCTCGGAGAGGTCTTTTCCAATTCTGACGGAGCTGGTGGTATTGCTCAACGTCATTTTACACAGCCGTATGAGTTTTGAGGGGATGCCAAATTCAGACATAGCGGCGTATAGGCAACTCCTTTTAGTGCTGTCAAAAGCGGCTTTAAAGTCGACAAATAGGTGGTGAGTGTCGATCCTTTTCTCGCGGGTCTTTTCCAAGATTTGGCGTATTGTGAATACCTGGTCTATGGTGGATTTGCCAGGTCTAAAGCCACACTGATAAGGCCCAATCAGTTCATTGACGGTGGGCTTCAGTCTTTCGCACAATACGCTCGATAAGACCTTGTAACCTATGCTTAGAAGGCTGATCCCGCGGTAGTTGGCGCGAATGGCGGGGTCACCTTTCTTGTGGATTGGGCAGAGCACACTTAAATTCCAGTCGTCGGGCATGCGTTCATCTGACCATATTCTGCACAAGAGTTGATGCATGCACCTTATCAACTCCTCGCCGCCGTACTTGAATAGCTCAGCTGGCAGGCTGTCAGCTCCAGCGGCTTTGTTGTTTTTCAGCCGCGTTATTGCTATACGTACCTCGTCATAGTCAGGCGGTGGAACGTCGACTCCGTCATCATCGACTGCGGGCTCGGGTTCTTCTTCTCCACAACTTTCTGTGCTGCTGCCATTTAGTAGGGCGGAAAAGTGTTCCCTCCATAATTTAAGTACGCTCTGGACATCAGCGCTTAAGGTATTAAAATTGAATGCAAATCAGTAGACAGCGAGGCGAAGAATTGTCAAATTGAACGCAAAGGCATAATAAAAGAAGAAAAAACCATTT